TTAATTGCATCTCTATATTATTAAACGTGCGATATTTATTCATTTTTACTTTTGAAGTAAATGAGCAATATGTGCAGCTTAAAACAGTTTGAAAACTTAAACATTTTAAATTTAAATGCAATGATTTCTCATATACTTATATGTATGTAAGTATGTATTTATGTATGAATTTTCATTTATAGTAATACAAATGTGCAGTGCTAATTAAAACCTTGTGATATATGTGCATATATACTTATGTACATACATAGATGTGTACGTAACTTTGAATCGNATTTACTATGTGGCATATTCACAAATTAATGCTTATTTTCATTTTCGACCCAATCTTCCCAAGATCCGGGATAGTATTTTACATTTGTATACCCCATTGCACTTGCTATTTCTGCTGCTTTAAGCGCACGTTTTCCTAGTTTACAAGTAAAAATTATCTCATCGTGAATAGAAGGCTTGCCGCGACCGTACCTCGATTGAAATCTCTGCGGTTTAACATCTTCGGCCAATACTTGCACTACGGATTCCAGTGGGATATTTATACTTGTTGGAATTTTTCCAGTTTCTAAGAGTTCCTGTGGCTCACGCACATCAATTAACAGTTTTTCTGGGTGGTTTGGTAAATCTTTGATATCGCCATATTCTACGCCCGGTATTGGTTGACGTATTTTTTCAGTGCTATAATGCATATTCTGCATACCGGTTTTCCATGGGCGACATTTGTTTGGGCAAAGAGAAACTCGCTGTTGGATACTTGAATTCCACAGGTTGTTTGAAGCAATTGCAAAATCCCGCACAGCATAATCTGCAAATACCAAAGTACATCAAGATAATCAGACATGTATGTTTGTAAATTAGATTCCATACCATTAATGTTTACATAACGCTTTACAAACGATCTAGAGAGCCTAGGAACTTTAGATATCATTTTTTAATAAAGAATTTTTGTACAAAAATAAAAATTATATACGGCAGTTCCTTAAATAGGTGTGTACTCGTACTGAAACTAAACTAACAAAACTATCCAGCAGAAAAAATTCTGAGAATTTAGCAGCATCCGCTCTCAAAGAGACATGATTCAATAATACAAGGTTCGATAAACTGACAGTTGTCTCTCTCGCACCGCTCCCTTAGCAGTGGCACCGTGTTGCTTCTTTGCAAATTTACATGGAAACAGTGTAGCTTTGGTGTGAAATAAAAGTATAAGCTTTTGTGCAATATGTTTATTTGTATATGCATATGAAGCATATTTAACTGATGAAAACGTAAGCATTGGATGTTTACATCAATCTCATAGTAGTCTTATTTTATTTTTGAGGCATTTCGCAGTTTTTATACGGCTAAATAGCATATAAATTACGTAATTCACGTAGATATATC